GGGAGAAAGTGAAAATACCTGAAACAAGATTAGCCATACACTGATAGTTGTTGAAGCTGGGTAATGAGTAGACAGGTGCAAATTATACTATTTTCTCTACTTTGTGCATGTTTAATTTTTCCCATAATAGAAAGTTTTTTTTTTTGTTTTGTTTTTTTTTTTTTTTTTTTTTTTTTTTGAGACGGAGTTTCACTCATGTTACCCAGGCTGGAGTGCAATGGCGCAATCTCGGCTCACCGCAACCTTCGCCTCCTGGGTTCAGGCAATTCTCCTGCCTCAGCCTCCTGAGTAGCTGGGATTACAGGCACGCGCCACCATGCTCAGCTAATTTTTTGTATTTTTAGTAGAGACGGGGTTTCACCATGTTGACCAGGATGGTCTCGATCTCTTGACCTGGTGATCCACCCGCCTCAGCCTCCCAAAGTGCTGGGATTACAGGCTTGAGCCACCGCGCCTGGCCTAATAGAAAGTTTTTAAAAGGTACTAGGTATTAGGCAATCTAGATCTACAGTTGTACTGGTTATAAAACTTGAAAACATGTTTTGTACCTCTGTAGTTGATGTGCTTACCACAATATATCACCCTTTGGCTATACTAAAGATGCTCATGTAAAGCTTCAATGGTGACAAAATATTAGATGATACCTGGCCAAGGTCTTGCAAGGGGAATTGAGGAAAAAAAAACAACAACAACATGTACAACTGCTTGAGCTCTGCAAGATTTTAAAAATCATTTTAATGGCAAATAGAATTTCTACTACAGAGATAGGGTTGTTCCTTAAAAATTTTTAAGGCAGATATTATGTAATAGAATCAGCAGGAGGAAAAGAACAAGCTTAACTTATGAATAATGAATTTATAGTTTTTAGAATAAATTAGGACTATCCGTGGGAAGCTGAATACATGGAGGAGACCCAGTAGTTATCCTCCATATGTCAAATAAGAGAAAATATGCTCTAGTGATTATACCAGCTTTAGCCTAGTCCCAAATCAAGTCAACCAGAAATTGTACAGATGGGAGTTTAAATGGGTTAACTTTCTTATGAAAGGAAAAAAAAATACAGCATGCAATTCAAATGGAAAGGTTCTTAGACAAGTCCATAAAAACTTGCCAAAGGCCACAAAGGCCATCACTGCCTAATATACACCAGTCTCTTAGGTTTCCTAGTACTAGGAGCTTTCCCATTTACAGAAAGTCAGATTTAGGCAAGTACAAGAATGAAAATGAGTATATGCTAAGGCTGAGAGAGACTCTGCAGACTAAAGGAAAAAAGCTGCCTTCTATAATTCTCCAGTCAGTAGTAACCTGAGACAAAATGAACAGTTTTCTCCTATTACTGCCTAAAGAATACTGGCTTCAAGCTTCCACCAAGGTTTAACACCCATCAAGTAACTTAGTACCAGACAAATCACAAACGTCCTTGACACTCAGCCTCTCTGCGTGCAAACAAGAATAAAACTTGTTCTCTCCTCCTCATGGGCATATAGTGAGGATCAAAAGAGATGTATGATGAATCCAGATGAAAACTATAAAATGTCACACAAAAAGTTATATTATTACTAGCCAAAATGAGAGAAAGCAGGATCCAAATTAATTACCTAAAAAGGTTCAGAGGCTGGATGTGGTGGCTCACATCTATAATCCCAGGACTTTTGCCCAAAGTGGGTGAATCGCCTGAGGTCAAGATTTTGAGACCAGCCTGGCCAGCATGGTGAAACCCCATCTCTGCTAAAAATACAAAAATTAGCTGGGCATGGTGGGGCGCACCTCCAGCCTGGGTGACAGAGCAAGACTCTGTCTCAAAAAACAGACGCCCAAAACGAAGTTTGCTTGAGATGAAAAGAAATACTGAGAATTCTAGATCTAGGTAGCAAGATCAAGATGAAATATGGCTTCTAAGCTCTGAGGGTGACTACAGTTCACGGGTGTGTGTGTGTGTGTGTGTGTGTGTGTGTCTGTGTGTGTGTGTGTGTGTGTGTGTGTGTGTTTTTCAGGGGTAGAGATAATGTCAGAGAAAACAAAATGGTTTCCCTTCTCCCCACTGTAGTCATTATTCCAATATTCCTGCTCTGAATTTCTTTCCTCTGCTCTCTCGACCTAACTCCACTGCCATCTACAGAACAGGAAACAGGCTGCAGTGGCTCACGTCTATAGTCCCAACACTTTGGGAGGCCAAGGCAAGCAGAATGCCTGAGATCAGGAGTTTGAGACCAACCTGGCCAACATGATCATACCCCATCTCTACTAAAAATAAAAAATTAGCCAGGCATGGTGGGGCACACCTGTAATCCCAGCTACTCAGGAGGCTGAGGCAGGAGTATCACTTGAACCTGGGAGGGGGAGGTTACAGTGAGCCAAGATTGCACAACTACACTCCAGCCTGGGTGACAGAACAAGACTCCATCTCAAAAAAAAAAAAAGAATAGGAAAGAGAGTTATGTTACTGATGAAAAAAAGAAAAAAGAATGGCATATCTCCTCTATCTTAACTACTGCTTAAAGTTTCAAGTAGTCAAGACTGGTACTTGCTATAGTTTTTTCTTTTTCAGTGTTTATTGTAGGTTAGTGGGTACACGTGCAGGTTTGATACACAGGCAAACTGTGTGTCACTGGGGTTTGGTGTGCAAATGATTCTGTTACATGGGTAGTGAGCATAGTATTCAACAGTTAGTTTTTCGACCTTCATCCTCCTTCTTTGCTCCATCCCCAATGTAGGCTATCGTTCCCCTCTTTGTGTCCACATGTACTCAGTGTTTAGCTCTCACTTAAAAGTAAGAACATGCAGTATTCGATTTTCTACTCCTGCATTAATTTGCTTAGGATAATGGCCTCCAGATGCATCCATGTTGCTACAAAGGACATGATGTTGTTCATTTTTATAGCTGTGTAGTATTCCGTGGTATACATGTACCACGTTTTCTTTTTCTTCCCTTTTTTTTTTTTTGAGACAGAATCTTGCTTGTTGCCCAAGCTGCAGTGCAATGGCATGATCTTGGCTCACCGCAATCTCTGCCTCCTGGGTTTAAGCAATTCTCCTGCCTCAGCCTCCAGAGTAGCTAGGATTACAGGCACACACCACCACACCCAGCTAATTTTTGTATTTTTAGTAGACATGGGGTTTCACCATGTTGGTCAGACTGGTCTCGAACTACTGACCTCATGATCCGCCCACCTCGGCCTCTCAAAGTGCTAGGATTACAGGCATGAACCACTGCACACAACCATTTTCTTTCTCCAGTTCATCATTGATGAGCATGTAAGGTTAATTCCATGTGCTTGCTATTGTGAATAGTGCTGTGATGAACACGTGAGTGTATGTGTCTTTTTGGTAGAATGATTTTATTCCTTTGGGTATGTACCCTGTAATGGGATTGCTAGGTTGAATGGTAGTTCTGTTTTAAGTCCTCTGAGAAATTTCCAGACTGCTTTCCACAGTAGTGGAACTAATTAATATTCCCACCAGCAGTGTATAAGTGTTTCCTTGTCACCACACTCTCACCACCATCTGTTATTTTCTTACTTTTTAATAATAGTCATTCTGACTGGTGTGAGCTGGTATCTCACTGTGGTTTTGATTTGCATTTCTCTAATGATTAGTGGTATTGAACATTCTTTCATATGCTTTTTGACTACATATATGTCTTCTTTTGAGAAGTCTAATTTCAAACTATACTACAAGGCTACAGTAACCAACATAGCATGGCACTGGTACAAAAGCAGACACAGAGACCACTGAAAGAGGTTACAGAACCCAGAAATAAAGCTGCACACCTACAACCATCTGATCTTCAACAAAGTCACAGTAACGAGCAATGGGAAAAGGACTCTGTATTCAATAAAAGCTGCTGGGATAACTGGCTACCCAAATGGAGAAGGCTGAAATTAGACTCTTTCCTTTTGCTACATATAAAAATCAACTTAAGATAGATTAAAGACTTAAATGTAAGACTTAAAACTATAAAAAACTCTAGAAGAAAATTTGGGAAATACCATTCTGAACATAGGCCCTGGCAAAATTTTATGATGAATTCTCCAAAAGGAATTGCAACAAAAACAAAAATGATAATTGGGACCTAATTAAACTAAAGAGTTTCTGCACAGCAAAAGAAACTATCAACAGAGTAAACATTTGTAAACTATTGTAAAATATTTGTAAACTATGTATCTAACAAAAGTCTAACATCTAGAGTCTATAAGGAAATTAAACACATCAACAAGCAAAAAACAATGCAATTAAAAAATGAGCAAAGGAAATGAACAGACACTTCTTCTATGGTTTAAATGTGTTCCCCAAAGTTCATGTGTTGGAAACTTAATCCCTAATGCAATAGTGTTACAAGGTGGGACATTTAGGAGGTAATTAGGTCATGAGGGTTCCTAACTCATTAATGGATTCATGACATTGGTGTCAAAGTGGGGTAGTTATCTTGGAAGTAGGTTCCTGATAAAAAGGATGAGCTCGGCCCCCTGCTTCACCTTCCTTACTCATGTGCATACTTTTTTGCACTTCCAACTTCTACCATGAAATGATACAGCAAGAAGGCCCTTGCAAGGTGTTGGTCCTTAGATCTTGGATATTCCAACCTTCAGAATGGTAAGAAATAAATCTCTGTTCTTTATGCATTACTCAGTCTCGGGTATTCTGTAGCAGCACAAAACAGACTAAGACAATACTGGAGAATGCAAAGGGAAAACAGGAATCCCTAAGGTAATGAAGGCTGGAAGGGACAAGATTCACATTATATCCCCTCATCATGCAGGAAATCGAAAACTGTAAAGATTACAATCAGTAAAGATACAGTCAACTCTAATAGCTGACAAAGACAGTTATTTCACTTTTGGAAAATCTGTATCAAGTCTGTTTAAATAAAGTTCGATCTGCACAGTATAAAACATTCTTGCATGGGAGTAAGAATGCTGTTACTTTTAATCGCATTCACTATAATTGTTTACTTTAATCAAAACCAAAGGATTTAAAGATAGGTTTTCAAGGTAACCTACCTGCAACTGCATGACCACATAGTTGAATCGATCATTCCTCCCACAGCCAATAAATCTACAAACATGGTCTTTCCCTGGATAAAAAAAAAAAAAGAAAGAAAACAGTGGAAAAGAATATACTACGGTTTCTCTTAAAAAAAAAAATTTTCTTTTCTGTATAGTATTTTATGATTGAATATAAAATACGTCTTGAGAATCTTAAGGATAGAAAACTTATATTATTCAAATTTTCTACCTACCTCCTCTCCCCCCAGGCACTGCACTATTACTTCTTGTGGTCAAATAAATGAATATTCGAATAAATAAATAAACAAATTAATATATGAATAAGGAAACAAACGTATGGTAATTTATTTAGGGAGGAAAGATTAAGTGGTCAATTCAGATTAAGCTGCCCAGATACAATGCATACGAAGCCACAGGAGAGCAATAAACAAGAGCTATGTTAGGAATATAAACCATGAATTTTAAATATGTTATGGTACTCACTGTTATGACTTCAGCAAGACAATCTTTCTGGGCCTCACTGATGTGGATTAGCCCAGTGATTTTCAACCTGAGTTCCAGCTGAGAAACCCAAAATAGTACTGGCTGAGGCACAGAGGGGGGCAGAGGTACAGCAGAAATCTGATTAAAGAAAAGCATGCAAAGACCCCCAAAAAGAACGGAGCCACATGTATAGGTTAGTGCTTTTCAGCCCTGGCTACTTATCAAAACCATCTGAAAAACTTTACTTTTGTTTTATGACACCACTGACCCAAGGGCAGTGGAAAACTTTTTAAAGATTCCTAAGTTCTATATTAATTCAGAATCTGTGGAGAAAGAGACAGAAAATGAGCTTTTCAAAAGTTGGTTGTTATTTTTATTTTTGAGACAGAGTCTCACTTTGTTGCCCAGGCTGAAGTGCAGTGGCATGATCTTGGTTCACTGCAACCTCTGTCTCCTGGAGGGCTCAACTGATTCTCCCACCTCAGCCTCCTGAGTAGGTGGGACTACAGGTGTGTGCCACCACATCTGGCTGATTTTTGTATTTTTTGTAGAGGCAGGGTTTTACCATGTTGCCCAGGCTGGTCTCAAACTCGGAGGCTCAAGTGATCTGCCCACCTCAACCTCCCAAAGTGCTGAGATTACAGGCATAAGCCGCTGTACCTGGCCTCAAAAGTTCTTGGCTTATGGGTGCAGTGCCTCATGCCTGTAATCCCAGCACTTTGGGAGGCTGAGGCGGGCGTATCAAGAGGTCAGGAGTTTGAGACCAGACTGGCCAAGATGGTGAAACACAGTTTCTACTAAAAATATAAAAATTAGCTGGGCATGGTGGCTGGTGCCTATAATCCCAGCTACTTGGGAGGCTGAGGCAGGAGAATCACTTGAACCCAGGAGGCTGAGGTTGCAGTGAGCCGAGACTGCACCATTGCACCTTAGCCTGGGCAACAGAGCAAGACTCCATCCCAAAAAAAAAAAAAAAAAAAGGTTCTTTAAATGATCCTAAAGCAGGTAGGGCATGGATAGATATTTGAAAACTACTGCAGGGTAATGAGAAGTAACAAAAAGATTTTAAGATAAAGAATAACATACTAAACACTGTGGTGGTAATAAGGAGAGCAGACTACAAACGGGAGTCTAGTGGAGAAGCTCACTCTGGGGACAGTTACAATAGCCAGGAGAAAGAATACGGGGATTAGAGAAAGATAAAAAAAAATAAATCTGACCGATACTAAAGATGGAGTTTTTTACTAGAATTGGTAAAATTAAGTGAAAAGTTGTACCAAAGTAAGAGAATACAGTAGGTTGTATAGATTTTAAGGAATATTAAAATGCTGACTTTGAGGACAATCAATTGAGTTCAGTAGACATTGTAAGTTCAGGCCTGCTGCGGAGACCAAAAGGCAGAGCTCCAGATGCATTAGTAAGGAACCATTAGTTCATGGACAACAGATGGAAGATTGACAAGTGAAAGAATAAAATATAAGAAGAAGCTTAAGCACATAATTTGGAAAATGTAACATTATTATTATTTTTAAGACAGGGTCTCATTATCTTACCAAGGCTGGTGTCAAACTCTGGGCTCAAGCAATCCTCCCACCTCAACCTCCCAAAGTGCTGGGATTATAGGCGTGATCCAACATGCCCACTCTAGAAAATCCAACATTCAAAGCATGAGGGAAAACGAAAGTCCCTCAAGGAAATAGAGCAATAGCCTGAAAGATTGGAGGAAACCGAGAGAGGGGTATCACACAAAACCAAGGGAGAAGAACATTTCATGAAGATGGAAGTGCACACTGACAAGTATACAGAAAGGCTGAGAAGTACTAATATAAACAGGAAGTCATTAGTGAGTCAAGGGGCAGAAGCCAGTTTATAATGGGTTAAAGAGTAAATGGAATATGAAATATGAGGGCAGACAGCCTTTGAAGGAGCTTGCTTGAAAGTAAGGAACAGTAACAGGCCAAAGCTTGAAGATGAAGATTTGGCAGACTGATGAAACACTCAGAAAAAAAATTTGCCACCTAACTGACTTCAAATATAAATATGACTAAGACTCAGCAAAGCCAGGTGCAGTGGCTTCACCTATAATCCCAGCTACTTGGGAGGCTAAGGTGGGAGGATTGCTTGACGCCAGGAGTTTGAGACCAGCCTGGGCAACATAGCAAGACCCCTTCCCTTAAAAAAAAAAAAAAAAAAAGACTCATTTTTTCACACCTGTGTTATCTATCAGTTACAACATTGCTTTTTCATTCTCTATGTTTTTGTTTAAAAAGGGAGTTATAAGCTAGCAAGAATGGGTACAATGGAGAATACAATTTTAAAAGAAATATTCTTGGCCAGGGGTAGTGTACACAGTACATGTTGACCACTTAAAATATTTTACATATATTTGCAAAACTGTGTTATCTATTATCTATCCTGTCATAAGAATGAAAGGATAAAATGATGGTCAATTAGCAACTTACTCTTGTCCTCAGCTTCAAAGACACAATAAAAAATAAGTTACATAGTGTTTTCCTTGTATTACCCATTCCCTAAGACTCTCCTTTTCTATCATGTAACATTTAAATACAGTATCTCTAGTAAGACATTTCAATTATCTAAAAGTAAAACACCATGTGGAGGCCAAAACAACTCCATCTTGGATACTAATCTGCCATATTGACTTTCAATTAACCCCAGTTCCAGGAAAGCCTCTAAGAGGTCCAGTTTATCTACTGTTCCTTGTGTAAGAGCACATACTTACCACAAATCCTGCTCTTATAAAAAAAAAAAAAAAAAAAAAAAAAAAAAAAAACCTTGACATAATTATACTTCAATTGTCCTACACATCCCCCTTGAAGCACGTATACCTCAAGGGGATACATACGGTATTTAAGCCCTGGGTGTGGGTGACAATAGTGTGGGAATCCACCATCTTGTCTTGCTACTGCCTGAGCCATAGACATGGCTGCTGCTTCTAAGACTCAAATATTTCTCTCTGAGGAACTGGATATTTCAGCCACTGTCTTTGGCTTCTCAGCTTCCTTAGACTTGAGGCAAGTTTGCACTGACCTACCCACTGTGGAACAGATCATATTAAATCCAACTCCTGTTAGAATGTTTCTTTTAAAATTGAACTCCAAAGTTATACCAAAACAAAATTTATCTTCATACTAAAACCACCTTACTTTTAAAAAGAAAAAAATGTAGAAATTAAATAAACTGTAGATCCATTTACTGAATAATCAAAACACAAAGCCAGCAGCAAATATTCTAGGATTCATAAGTACATCTTCATTGCTTTTATGAGTTCTTATCTCATACTTCATGGCATAGTATGTTACTGCTCTTCAATTTTACACATATATGCAAATAATGAAACTACTAAATAAAGTTAGTTCAATAAAAATATACAAATTTTTGGAAGCACAAAGGAACTTCAATTAAATTGGAACAGTAATTCTTCACTACCACTTATAGCAAGTGTTAAAACTTTTATAATAACTACACAGTGAAGTATCACTCCATGAGTACAGGGACCTTATCTATCTTGTTCTGGTACTGAAAACACTTTTGCAAAAACTGTAACAGTGAGAGACATCTAACATAGCTGACTCCATCTTGCTTTTAACCTCATAAGCTAACTGCTTTTGCTCATCCTGACACACAGGCCAAGCTGACTATGGGAGGAACTTAGTTTACAGTTCCAACTTTAAAGCAAGGATGATAAAAGCCCTTTCTCAAAATTAACTCTTTGGGGACAGAAACCGCCATTGTAAAACTAATGAAAGACCACAAACAGAATTATGGTAGGGATCTGAATTCTGTTAAGGTTTAGGTATAGTTAATAATAACTAGTCATTGTTTCCTAATTTGCCTTTTTGTAACTGCCTACTACTCAGGAATCACCAGCTGGTGGTTATAAGATTTGCAACTTCTCAATTGCCCCTACTGATAACATTGCTATTGTGAAACCTAAGACTGGTGTTTCAGGTATTTTTCAGACTTTGCAGTGGACCAACTGACACCACCCAGGTGTCCTTCACCCAGGAAATGACTCAGCACATGAAGACAGTTTAAATATTCCTGTGATTTCATCCCCAACTCAACCAATCAGCAGTGCCCATTCCCTATCCCCCTGACTACCAACCTATCCTCAAAAACCCTACTCGCCAAATTCTTGGGAAGGAAGATTTGAGAAATATCACACATCATCGTCACTGAGCCACACTGCAATTATTAAACTCTCTGCTGCAACAACCATCTCACAGCTTGGCCTATGTGTAGGGATATGCTTTTTCTGTGCAGCAGGCAAGAAGAACTTGCTAGGCTGTAACAGTACCTGGCAAAATACCCAGTAAAGACTGGGTTTTGTGGTTAAATGCTCAATCAATATGTATAAATAAATGAATAGAAGTAATAATAGCTAATAAAATGTGCATAATATGGGCCAGATGCACTGGCTCATGCCTATAATCCTAACACTTTGGAAAGCTGAGGTGAAGGATTGCTCGAGTCCAGAAGTTACCATCCTGGACAACATGGCAAGGCCCAATCCCTACAACAAACACAAAAATTAGCCAGGTGTGGGGACACATGCCTATAGTTCCAACTATTCAGGAAGCTGCGGTGGAAGGCTCGTGGCTGAGCCTGGGAGGTCAAGGCTGCAGTGAGCAGTGATCATGCCACTGACTCCTGCCTGGGTGACAGAGTGAGACCCTGTCTCAAAATAACTAAATAAATAAATAAGCAAGCATAATATGCACACACAATATGCAAGCATCTTATGCCAGGCTCTATACTAAGCATGCTACATGCATTTAATCCTGCCAATAATACAAGTATTATTATATTCTCCATTTTTCAAATACGGAAATAGAGGCTTAGGGAGGTTACTTTGTCCAAAATTAAAACCAGAACATGATGAAGCAGTTTAATTCCAGAGCCTTTGCTCTTAACCAGTATGCCTGGAAATGACAAAAACAGATTTTCAACTCCAGTAACATCTTGTCAATAATTATTTAAAAGGGGAAAAAAAAACTGTGACAGAACAAAAAAATGACGACCTATTATATGCCAAGTACTAAACTAGGCACTAGAAATACAAGATAAATTAAGTAAGATCCATGTCCTCAAAGAGTTCACAGTCAAGATATGTAAACAAAAAAATGTAATACAGTATGAGTTCTAAATTATAAACTGCTATAGATATAAAGAAGATTCAAAAATTGGGCTCATGAGACTTCACATGCACATTAAATCACTAGATTTTACATATTTATGAGAAGAGTATTCTAAAAGAAGGGTCACCCACAAAATCATAAAGGATTTAAGTACATGTGATAGATAACTAATAGAGTTAACAGGCTAGGGGGCTTGATAAGAGTGAAAGTGGGCTAAGGTGGGGAATATGAGGACACAAGAAAAGTGTACTAAAACTTTATATGCCACTGTGGTATACAATTGTCCCTTGGTATCCATGAGGGACTGGTTTCAAGACCTTCCTTGGATACCAAAGTCAACCAATGCTCAAATCTCTGATATAAAAAGGGGTACTTGGTGGGCGCAGTGGCTCACGCCTGTAATCCCAGCACTTTGAGAGGCTGAGGTGGGTGGATCACCTGTGGTCAGGAGTTTGAGACCAGCCTGGCCAACCCTGTGAAACCCTGTCTCTACTAAAAGTACAAAAATTAGTTGGACGTGGTGGGAGGTGCCTGTAATTCCAGCTACCTGGGAGGCTGAGGCAAAAGAATCACTTGAACCTAGAAGGCGGAGGTTGCAGTGAGCAGACATCGCCCCATTGCACTCCAGTCTAGGCAACAGAGGGAGACTCTCTCGAAAAAAAAAAAAAAGAGGAAAAAAATGGGTACTATTTCCACATAATCTATGCACACCTCCCATATACAGTCAGGCTTCACTTAACAATAGGAACATATTCTGAGAAATGCATCCTTGGGTGATTCAGTCACTGTGCGAACATCACAGGGTGTGCTTACAAAAACCTAGATGGTATAGGCTACTATATGCCTAGGCTATATGGTATAGCCTATTGCTCCTAGGCTACAAACCTGTGTGACATGTCACTGTACTACATACTGTAGACAGTTATAACACAATGGTAAGTATTTATGTGCTGTACACTAAAAACACAGTATTATAATCTCATGGGACCACTGTCACTGAACAAAATGCTGTTGTGTGATGCATGACTATATTTTAAATAATCTCCAGATTACTTATGATACCTACTACAACGTAAATGTTCTGTAAATAGTTGCCATATTGATTGTTTAGTAAAAAATAATAGAAAAAAAAGTCTATATGTTTAGTACAGAGGCAATATATATATATTTTTTTGAGACAAAGTCTTGTTCTGTCACCCAGGCTGGAGTGCAGTGGTGCAATCTCATCTCACTGCAACCTCCACCTCCCCGGTTCAAAGAATTCTCGTGCTTCAGCCTCCCAAGAAGTGGGGATTACAGGCATGTACCACCATGCCTGGCTGATTTTTGTATTTTTAGTAGAGACAGAGTTTCACCATGAGGGCAGGCTGGTCTCGAACTCCTGATCTCAAATAATCCACCCACGTCAGCCTCCCAAAGTGCTGAGATTACAGGTGTGAGCCACTGTGCCCGGCCATTTTCCTAAGATTTTCAATCTGTGGTTGACTGCATCCACAAATGTGGAATGCATGGATGTGGAACTCACTGACAGGAACAGCCAACTATAATATGAAATAAATTTAGTCTCTGTCCCTCCTACTTGTTACCTAGTTTCTAAAATCTGTGGAATTTTCTGAGTGATAGAAATATCTTTTGTTATTTATGACTCTTTTGATAACACCTGAGTTTATGTTAGTCACATAACTGTGGGAAGCCCCTGTATAATCAGATGGGACCAGTCACCAGAAAGACTAAGAGAGGGCTGGAACTTTCAGTCTTACCCACCAACTTCAAAGAAACGTGAGTGGAAAGGGTAGAGATTAACCTCTATAAAGACTCTTGAACAATGAGATTTATGAGCTTCTGGTTTGCTGAATGAGTGGAAGCGCTGGGAGGGTGGCCTACCCAGAGAGGGCACAGAAGCTTCCCCCAACTCCCCAATATCTTACCCTTATCCATCTCTTCATCCAGCTGTTCATCTGTATCCTTTGCAATATGTAAACATATTTCCCTGAGTTCTGTGAGTCATTCTAGCACATTAATCAAACCCAAGGCGGAGGGGGGGATCAAGGGAGCCCCAATCAGCAGCCAGTCAGTCAGAAGCACAGTTTAAGCCATTCTAATGGTGTGCAGTGGTATCTCACTGTGCATTCTCCTAATGTTTAGTTATGTTAAACATCTCATGAACTCATTTTACACTCTATTTCTTCTTTTAAGTACCTGTAAAAGCTTATTAAATATTTTTAATTAAACTGTTATCTTATTGTTGAGTTTTCAGAGTGCTTTATGTATTCTGAAAATAAGTCCTTTACAGGTGATTTGCAAATATTTTTCTTCCACCTTGTAACTTGTCTTTCATTTTCTTCATAATGTCTTTTGCAAGCAAAGTTTTTAACCTAATGAAATCCAAATTATCAATCTTTTTATTTTATGAATCATGCTTTTGTTGTCATCTGACAAGCTTCTTGCCTAAACTCAAGTTACAAAGATCTTCTCCATGTTTTCTTCTATAAGTTTTACAGCTTTATCTCTCACATTCAGATGAGTGATACACATTAAGTAAATTTTTGTATGTGTGTGGTTTAGGCAGAGGTTCATTATTTTTTTATAAGGATGCCCAATAGTTCCAACACCAAGACTGTTCATTTTCCACTGAATGGCCTTTGCAACTTTGTAGATTTTATTGGCCTTCTTTGTATGGGTTAGCCTATGTCCAAAAACTATTTTATTTCATTTGATCTATATGTCTATGCCTTTGCCAATACCACTGCCTTGATTATCCTAGTTCTGTACTAAGTTTTAAAATCATATAGTTTGATTTTTCTTTTTTTTTGCTTATATTTTATATTTTTAGACAGGATCTCACTCTGTCACCTAGGTTGTAGTACTGTGGCACAATCATAGTGCACTCAAACTCCTGGACTCTGGCAATCCTCCCATTTCAGCCTCCCAAACAGCAGAGGACTATAGGCATGTACCACCACGTTGAGCCTTTTTTTTTTTTTTTTAATTAGTTTGTAGAGATGGTGATCTCACTATGCATTTTTTAATTGACTGAAATTATATATATTTATTGTATAAACGATGCTTTGAAGACATGTATACGCTGTGGAATGGCTCAATCAAACTAACAGCATGCCTCACAAACACAACATTTCTTTTTTTTTTTTTTTTTTTTGAGACAGAGTTTCACTCTTGTTACCCAGGCTGGAGTGCAATGGCGCGATCTCAGCTCACCGCAACCTCCGCCTCCTAGGTTCAGGCAATTCTCCTGCCTCAGCCTCCTGAGTAGCTGGGATTGCAGGCACACGCCACCATGCCTAGCTAATTTTTTGTATTTTTAGTAGAGACGGGGTTTCACCATGTTGACCAGGATGGTCTCGATCTCTTGACCTTGTGATCCACCCGCCTCGGCCTCCCAAAGTGCTGGGATTACAGGCTTGAGCCACCGCGCCCGGTCAAACACAACATTTCTAATGAGAAGAACATTTAAAGTCTATTCTCTATGTAGTTTAATTTTTTTCCAACATTATTCTTCTTTTCCAACATCGTTTTTGCTACTCTAGGTCCTTTGCCTTTCAATATTAACTTCAGAATCAGCTTCTCTATAACTACAAAAAGTACTACTGGGATTTTTATTATTATTTCATTAAATCTATAAATCAATTTGGGGAGAATCAATATCTTTACTATAGTGAACCTTCCAATTCATGAATATGGTATGCCTCTCCATTTATTTAAATCTTCTTGTATTTCTTTAATCAGGGTTTTATAAAGTTTTCAGCATAAAAATCCTGCATATACTTTGTTGCATTTATAACCTACATATTTCATTTTTTCAGAGCTATTGAAATTTTTAAAAATTCAGTTCTCAATTGTTCATTTCTAGTACACAGAAATATGGTTGCTTTTTGTGGCCTGATCTTGTATCGCTTGCTAAACTCATTTATTTTAGGAAGTTTTTATAGATTATAGGGATTTTCTATATTGACAAATCATGTCATCCACAAACAGGAACAGTTTTATTTACTCCTTTTAAGTCTGTATGTCATTATTTCTTTATATATCTTTGCTGCATCAAACTCAGTCTCTTCTTATTCAGGGTTGCTGATGACACAAACGTTAGATGTTTTGGTATTACTCATAGGTCACTGAGGCTCTATTTATTCTTTTACATGTTTTTCCTTTGTTGTTCAGGTTAGATCATTTCTATTGATCTGTTTTCAAGTTCAGTGACTCTTTCATCTATCATGTCCATTCTGCTATTGAATACATTGAGTTTTTTATGTCTGTTATTGCACATCCTGGGTCTAAATGTTCCACTTCATTGTTCTTAATATCTTCTATTCCCTTGCTAAGACTGTCTGTCTTCCTGCTCATTCCTGGAGCAAAGTCTTAATCTGATTTAAAGTCTCTTTGATATAATTTTAATATCTGTATGATCCTGGCATTGGTATCTATATTCTATCTTTTTCTACGTGAGTTCAGATGTTTCCGATTCTTTTTAAGCTGAGTGATTCTAGGTTGTATTCTGGACATTTTGAATATTATATCATGAGACTCTAGGTCTTATTCAAGTCCCACCATGAATATTGGTATTTTTGCTTTAGCCAGTAATTGGCCCAGTTGAGTTCATGCTTCAAGTTCTGACCAGCCTTCTGTAGGTTGTATTTCTAATGACAGTTCAGTTTGCAAAACTTTTGCAGTTATATTTAATGTGTTCCATAAGTAACCCCACATAATTTCCAGTTTGGGATGTAGGTAGTGGTCTATTCCATAATTCAATTCTCAAAGTCCATATATGCTGTTTAGGATCGGACCTATGCATGCACAGCTTGGAGGTCAGCTCAAGAGTCCACAAGCAACTTTAGGTGGTCAGTTTCCCAAGTTCCTCCCTCTTCTACAATCTTTCATTTCACTGGGGCTCCCCTTTTCCAGTCTTTCAGTAGAACTCTGGGGTTTTATTAACAGCACTCTGCAGAGTGCTTTCCATGACTGTGCTCACATCAGGCAAGGGCAACAGCAGAGGGAGAAAAAAAGCAGTTAGGGATTTGCCCAACTTTTTTCAGACCACAGCTCCTCCAATCTGAGAGGAAGAATTCTCTCTATTTTAGGCTCTTGCCTGCCCCCATTAAGGCCACTGCAGCCACTATCAAGAACTGTTTTGAGGCCTGGGTATAAGAGAATAAAGAAAATTTAAAAAGAGAGAAAGATGTAGGATTTCCATGCTTTCTCTGGGCATTAGGAGACCCCTTTCCTCCTCCTTGAGTCAGAACTAGAAGGCTTCTCTTGATGCATTTTCTGTCCATGTCAATGCTCACTTCCAAGTTCCAGGATACATTAAATTCAGGCTGGGGCATACTGGAAGAAAAAAATGGCAAACTCACTGCTGGTTCAATGGTACTTTCAATTCTGGTCTTCTTCCACAGTCTGTCCCTACAATTTACTTTTCAGAATCCTCAAATAGCCACTTTAAGAATTTTGCCCAGGTTTTTAGTAGCATTCAAGTAGGAGAGACATGAAGTGTGCTTATGCCATCTTATCTGGAACCAGAACCTGGACTACAGTTTTTGGTAACAAACTTTGTAGAACTGATTATTTTAAACTACTTGTATGACGTTGATTTTTAAAAATTAAAAATAAATCCTGTAATTATCTTATTGAGGCAGAGGGAAAAAGCAAGTTAGCAGAATCACATTTTTTTAAAAGCATATATACCTTTGGACATTACATGTATGCAAAAAAAAGTGAAGTTCTTAATTGCACTTTGCTTCATGTCTTTGAATCTTGTTTTACCTGTGGATTTTTATAAATATTAGGACTACTATATGTTTTTTAAAAGAAGAAAAAAAAAGCAGGTATTATCCAAAGTGTGAGAAAAAGGAAGCAGTTTGCAGGTTCGAGAGCCTGTAAGCCTTAAGAAACTGAAAACACTTCAGGATGACCGGCACTCTGGGTATAAGCTCAACATTTTCTATAAAAGAAGCAGAAGAAGCAGGCAAAGGTCAGTTCCATGTTTTGTATGCCATGTTAAGGTATGTGTACTTCATATGAGAAAAAGAAGACTATGAACAGTTTTTAGCAAAGGTTGGGGAGTGAAACAACTGTTTGGTATGTCTGAAGGATCACTCTTGCTGCAAAACATTAATGTGAATAGAAAATGAACCTAAGTGACTGAATTGAAGGGACACATTGAGTTGAAGAACAGCATATATAGTTTGATTCCATATGTTGTTGGGGAAGGAGGATAAGGGAGATTTTATATATGCATATATATAAACAGATTATATATATTATGTTAGACATGTGATTTTATATATGTGCGTGTATATATATCTACACGCTGATTACATAGAGCTGATTATAATATGCATAGAACATTTCGGGAAAATACACAGGAAACTGGTAGCAAGTGGTTAACCGTGGAGAAGAAAGTGAGGGGCTTAAAGGAAACTTACTTCTCACTTTATTCTGTTGTGCTGATTTTTAAGTTTCTTACTGTGACCATTTACACTCTTAAAAAGGTTTATTAGTGAAATGGAAGGAGGCTTTATGCATGAACTGGTTATCAGTTATCTATGAATTATATTAAAACAAGATAAAGTATGAATGAGTCTAACATTCAGTAGCACTGTTCTACCATAGCCTTAGCACTCAAACACTACAATAGATCTCCCCACACATAAGATATTACCAACTGTTTTTATTAAATGAAGTTTTACTCTGTCACCCAGGCTGGAGTACAGTGATGCGATCTTGTTTCACTGCAACATTCACATCCTGGGTTCAAGCAATTCTCCTAGCTCAGCCTCCGAAGTATCTGAACTACAGGTGTGCGCCAGCACATCCAGCTAATTTTTGTATTGTTAGTAGATACAGTGTTTCACTACGTTGGCCAGACTTGTCTCGAACTCCTGACCTCAAGTGATCCCACCTCAGCCTCCCAAAGTGCTGGGATTATAGGCATGGCCACAGCGCCCAGCCATTACCAGCTATGTATACATTAAGTTCACAACATAAAATAGCTTTTAATTACATTACAATATAATGGGTATAAAGGGACAAAGTAAAATATCTTCTCCTTCCCTAAACCCTCTGATTCTAATCACCTCAGGGGCTTCCTGAGTTATATGTGATTCTAAATGTTCTTTATATATTTATACATAGAGATAGCATATTTTTATATACTTTATATATTTATATATCAATTTATATAGAGATCATACATAAATATGTACATATGTTTTTAGGAAAATACACATATATTCTATTCCATTTCAAGGAAATAGACCTCTCCTCCTCAAAATAATATGTGTCATTTTTCTAAACAAAAGCAGAATTAACAAATAAATGAATCCCCAAGCCTACAGATAATGTTACATCTTCCAAGAAGAAAAATGTTAAAATGAACATACTCAACAGGTGAAGTTCTCAGAGACCTCCATACCCCCTTTGATGGAACAATGAACATCAGCAAGGACAAGCAAAAATGCACAGGATAAAATAAACAAAAGAGTAAATTATATGTTTACATAAGGTTAAAGGATATAATGAAGGGTAAGGATGTATCTCTAATTTTTCAGGTCCCAGTATGTAACTATTTTGCTCTCCCACAAAAGGTCCCTGTGGAGCAATTTTCAGTCTTCTATACTGGATAAACCAGCAGTCTAATCCACAAATTACATATTTCTTCTATTCTTATGACTGGGAAAAAGGAGTAGTCATACTTTGCAGCAGTAGCTGGAGACTTCAAGCAGGGAAGGCGTTAACAGGTGCAGCTGCTCTCCTGTAATAGTAACCCTCCTTCCCAACTCTCAGCTTGTGCTCTGCAGCCTAAAAGGCAAAAATAAAATCCAGGACCAACATTTCAGCGTAAAAAAGAAAAAAATCCCTGAAAATCAAAACAAAATCATTTCCTCTTCATGACCTATAAGGAAAAATGTAGCTTTTCCTGTGTTTATACGAGGCAAGACAAATTAATTCCCAAATATCTCACCTGAGAACAAGCTTGTTTTGTTATCAAACAATGACATTTATTCTACATTTTTTTTTTCGGTATTAGTTGCACCTCCACTCACTTTAGGGGACATAAAGGAGAAAAATTTAAAATAATTAAATAATCCTTCAATGAATTACCTTTTCATCCAAGGGAA